ATTTCCCTGCTGGCATGAGATCCTTCAGTACTTTACAAAGCCATCAAGTATCAATTTATGTCCTCATGACCTGGCAAATCTGCAAGGGTTAAATCACAGACACAACATTTAACCTGCTTTATTTCCCTTCCAGCACCACAGAGGAGAGCAATGTGCGTCTGAAAAGGTTATCTTGACAACACACATTTTCTGGTAATAAATGGAGTGCCCTGAAACCAAAAACCTCTTCCAATAGGTGCTTGTGGTCCAGTTAATCAATACTGTACTTCTTTACGGTAGTCAATCTCTCCCCAAAGCAAAGCAGTGTTTCAAAAAAATATTTGTTTCTGTTATGGTGATAAGAGAAGCAGTTTGGTGGTTTCTCTAGTCTAGATCTGCTTTGGAGCCCACTCTATGTCTGCTCTGGATCTAGATCTGCTCTGGAGCCAATGTCTTACGTCTGAGAGCAGATCTGCAGAATATATATTACATGTCTTTAAACTGTTCCTGCCATCAAATACAGTCTCGTCAAGATCTTACATCAAGCTGACCAAAGAATTGAGTAATGCATCATTAAGGTTTTGTGACAGATCCTGCTTTGAGTGGAGCACCTCTGTAGCTAAGAGTGGAGATTTCAAAAGAAGCAGGATAGAAAATTTTTTATAGCTCATTGGCGACCTTAACAATCCTATGTTTCCATGTAATATCCCTCTTATTTATCTTACCATAAGCCGTGTATAGTCCTGCTGTTGCTAAATTAATAAAATATTTCAGTTTGAAATAGGACTTTTAAAGACCCTATTATTATAATAAAATTATTACAAGTCCTAACATTGATCCTTAGAGGAACACTGCAGATACCTAAAGCACTTTGGCTTGCTGAAATGTTTTATGTGTGTGAATAGTGTTTTTATTTAACAAAAAGTCCAGTTGTCAATAGAAATTTACACTTCTATAAATTAACCTGGTTACACCCCCCTCCCACCGGCTTTTCAATCAGACAACCGATCCTGTTACTTCCTGGTTGCTCTGCTCAGTAGAGCTAAATCAAGAGACAGCAATTGCCCAGAGCACCTGCCTTGAGTTTTATTGGGAAACCTGTGATTGGACAGCCACAGAAGCCTGGGTGGGGTTAGGTGGGAAGGACTTGCAAAGGCTTCAGACAAGAGATCTACAGCTATTGCAAGCCATTTTAGATATACTCACAATGAAAATATGCACATTTAAATGCATGCATGTTTTCATTAGGGTATATCTACTAAATAGTGATTTTTGATATTAAACTTATTTTTTTTGTATTTAGGCAGTGGAGTGTCCCTTTAAATGGGAATTCGAGGCACCACACATTATATACCTATGCAGTGTGTAGGTATACTTACAGGTTGTGCTGTGTATATTCTTTTTCCTATTCTTTCCTTTCGTAAAAATAAATAGTTTTTTAATTCTATTGATTAAAGCAAAGTTGGTGACAGGCCAACACATAAATGTTCTATATGGACCTTTTTATTTTAATATTGATCAGCAAAGTGTTTACAGCTGAATAAATTAAAATGTATTGTATATCAATAAATGTCAGTAATAAAATTCTATTCACTCCTTGTGTGTTACTTTTGTTTTAATTTTGTAACTATTGCACAATTCTTCTAATTTGTTATGCAATGCTTAAAATACATTCAGTTTATATATATGAGTGGTTCACTGGCTTTGCATCTTTTCCTAAGTTGTGTTTCAAAGCTATTGTATACAGCAAACACAGACTCAAAGGAATCCATGTTTAAAATGGAATGAGGCAAAACTGTGTTTCTTTGTTGAACTAATTTGCATATGCCCACCTAGAATCCTTTGCGGTAGTAACATCACTGCAAATGTGTGATTTCTGTGGGAAAAGCAAGCCTTATGGCTTGACTGGTGAGCAGATTTTTGTTTAACATTGTATTAACTACCCACAGACTTCAGGTGGAAGGGGTTTTCAAGCACAATTTTTTCCCCACCATAACTGTTTGTTCGCAAGTACATCCAAACCTCAACGCTAGCCAATAACCTTATGTCTTGTTTTCTTGTTTTATGGCTTGACTGGTGTGCAGATTTTTGTTTAACATTGTATTAACTATATATATATTCTATAGCAATTTCTAATTTTCCCATCTTTAATATATGCCTATTAGACTTGCAATTTACAAATCACTTCTAACTCTATCTGTTCTACCTAATTTGAATAAAGAAATATTAAAAAGCAATATACACACTATCCCCCTGAAATGCTACATCTCTGTAACAAGCAGATTCAAGAGATAATTGCTTTCTGACAAGGATAGATTTTCAAGGCTGAAGGACAATATTTAATGAAAGTAAAACTCAATTATATGACATCATTGGCTAAATATATATTGGTGACAAAGAATGCCAATAAGGTCACATGGACACTTCTGACATATTATAAGTCTAGTACACCCCATTTTTGTACTGTCTGTTGTGGAGTAAGGGTTTGCTTGATAGATTTAGTAGACAGTGGATTAATGACAAGACATGCTAAGAAAATAAAGTCACAAAATAGTAACATTAAAACTCCATTGAAGCCAGTTTCATTTTTAATTCATTTTATCTAGCTCAAATTGTTGGACCAATTGTAGAATAAAAAGGCTGCATCTTATTTCAAAACATTCTCTTTTTATAAAACGCAAACAATAACATGCACTTTTATTTCATTACTAAAGGGTAATTTATTTTGGAATTCACAGTGAATTAAAATGAAAAATCTCTAATTCAGCTTTGTTTTCAGTTTTGTGATTTTTTTTATTCACTTTGAATACACTTTAAATTCATCACAATTTACATTTTAGTAAATAACTCTGTTAAGAAGAAATCTGGGTTTGTCGGCACGCAGCAGTACAAGCCCTCACAACACCCGATATTCACTTAAAATGAAGATCTCAGAACGTAAAATGAAACGGTATTTTCTGGAAACACATACATGTGTTTTACATTGCTCTAGTTCCAGGGGTTGGCAACCTTTGGCACTCTAGATGTTGTGGACTACATCTCCCCTGATGCTTTGCCAGCCTTATGTATATATGACCATTATGGGAAATGTAGTCCACAACATCTGGAGTGCCAAATGCTGCCTACTCTTGCTCTAGTGGCACTTACTAGAGGTATAACAGTTTAGTGTGATTTTATGTCTCAGCACTTATTGACTGATTTCTCCCCCCTCTCCCCTCCGCCATCAAATTGTGGTTTTCTTATAATTCATAACCATGAAAAATAATATTCTACCAAGTTAACACACAATATATTTACTGACTTTTTCTTCCTTGTTACTAAAACACTCAATATATTATTATCGTATTCAACCCTTGACAGAACCGTATAAATCATGGGATTGCCAAAAGAACAATCCAAGCACATTAAACACTTAAGTTTCAGAAATGCTTTAGGTGTGAAGAGTATGTCCTCTTTCTTTTCATTTTATGAAAGGGATGATTTTTATAGGAATCAGAATTTGTATAAAGGAACCTTGTTATCCCTTTCTGGCTATCAATCAGACAGCCAGTCCTGTTACTTCCTGGAGCTAAAATCAAGAGGCAGACAATTGCCCAGAGCACCTGCCTTGCAAAGACTTCTCAATGAGCTGTAATACAGCTGATTGAGAAGTCTGTAATTAGACAGCCTCAAACCCTATGCTGGGAAAGAAGGGGTGGGCTTGCATGTAATTGTAGATGTACTATATCTGCAGCTGTTGCAAGCCAACAATTATTAAACCTCCAAAAAAACAACAACCATGAAACACTAATAACATGCTTAATGTCATTGGGGTTTATCTGCTAAGTTGCTATTTTTTATTACTTTATTTTATTTAATGGAATGTTCCTTTATGAAACAGTATAATATTACTTAGGTGAGCATGCTGAATGAACTTAAGTAAGAGTCAAATAGATGCAGGACATTCATGGGTATTTTGGAGCATAGTGGGTGGAGAGCAGTTGATATTACAAGGAAGGGAGAAAATGGAATGGGAAGTATAGGAGGGGGAGGGGAGCTGATGTTTGCACTGATGGGCATTGAATACATAATAATGTAGCAAGGGACCTTGGAGAGAGAAAGGGAGGATATTGATATAGCCATAGAAGTGAATCAGGCTGTGTGGACATAGAATGGATGGGGAATGGATCTAGAGTTGGCATTAGGAGCTGGTGGGAAGATAGGGGCAGATTATATTAAATTAAGCTTAATACCAGTAACTGTGGTCTTATAAGGAAAAATAGTGACTGATAGGCTAAACAGAGGTAATAATGACTGGTAAACTAATAAACAGAGTAGTGGGTGAAAAGAACAGAAATGAGAGTAATAAATGGCAGTAATGCAGGCTTAACATTATGCTGTGTGGAATAGAAGATTCAGTGACTGGTGGCAAGATTATAGGGAGAGCTGTGCAGGATCAGGTGACTACAAATAAATTCTACTTTCTCTCCCCCAAGCCAGAACTTGCTAGCCATGATAAGCGCAAAAGCACTGCAGTTGGTAAATAACACCATTAATACTGGGACAGTGTAAACGTACCAGCAGTCTATCAATTGGAAATGTATATTTAAAGGATTTTTTTTCATTTCTATATTAAACCCTCTATTTTTTTTTATTTCGTTTTCATGCTTCATGCATTATAGATTTTTATTTGCTTATAGAATGTTGCATTTGTTTTGTAAAACACTATATGTAACACAGATGCATGCATACAGACATATAGTCAGTCTAACCATGGTACTTGTGACATTGCAGTACACAGAGCTATACAATGACAAGACAGGGTCTCTAATATGTCTGCTGTCTGGAAAAGGGTTTAGAGATGCTTTCAACACCTTCCCTCAATCGATATATAAATGACATGCCGTTTAGAGGAAGGTGCAATCCACATTGAAAAACTACCAGGGATCATGAGAAACCCAATGGCAGGATAGGGAGGGACAAAAAGAATGTGACAAAATCCTAACAGATTGCTCAGTTGTGATATCGGTTTTACTGCTGGCATTAGATCGTGAGCTTTTGTGGCAAGGGCATCGTGTTTCTATGTGTTCTGCAGCACGTATAGTGCTTCGTGGTAATTCGTCTACCACTGCTCTCTGTAGGAATCTAATATTATTGTCTCCTGTGATTACAATTACCAGTGGAAGGAGAGGCAAGCGAAGAATATATTATCCACGTGTCAAGACATCTCCAGCAGACTGTGACTTGCATAAATGGCTTGGAATTGAGTGAAAGCCATCACGGTGAAGGGGGCTATTTCCATTCCCTCTAATGTGCCTGTTGCAGGCTGCTTTAGTTCAACGTGCAGCATTACAGCTTATAGCAATCATTTCAGCACCATCAGCCCTGGACAGCAACCCAGAGAACAAGGAGAAGGAGCCCATCTGATTACATTGTATCTGCTCCTCACTGATGGATGAGAAACATTCCACTAAGGAGGAGATACATTTAGAACCTTGGTTCCATCAGTAACCTGGAGCTCATTTAATGGATTGCCTTGACACTCATCAGCAGCCATGGGAAGAAGTTTATTCTAGAAAGGGAGACACATAGTCCATATCCTTGTGATACAATCAGTGTGGGTCCTTTTCTACTGCTTTTCACATCAGAAGCTCCCCTGCCCTGGATTGGCCAGATGCTATTATTGCCAATTATATTGCTTTCAGATAACAGTGGGAAATACGTGCATTCAGATCAGCTGGAATGAAAATGGTAGCGGACAAGAGGATGACAGAAAACTGAAGCTAACTTTGGTAGATGGGAGCTTTGATCCCAATTATTGTAAATTCTATGCAAACAACGCTTTAGGAAAATAACACAAAATGGTAAGCTTTTTTTCTGAGGTAATATTTTTAGTATATATACTTAAAATGTTTTATTTTCCACTAACCATGCTTTTTATGGGCCATAGTGTAAATATATTTATATTTTTATGTATAGTGTATTCATATCTGCAGCTATTTGTAATATGTGTATATATCTTATATAATAAAAGTGTCATTAGATTGTGTCTGCTCTATGTTTTAAGTAACATTCTGTGCTTTTCCAGTCAGTCAATCAGGGCTTTTTTCCAATGGCGTACTGCTAATGTAGTATTGGGGCTTTTTTTATTTGAAAAGTTTAATTGTACATTTTGTGCATGACGTTCAGTAGATAAGGTTTATTTGTTTCCCTATCAATGTAAACACACTGCTTTTCTTTCAGTATGGGTTTATTAACACCTGTTTGAAGTCACTCGTCATAGAGAAATACGGAGAAGAGACATGGGATTTATTAAGGTAAAAGCATGTATGATATCTTACCTGTAACTGATTTATGTCACCTGCACCCTTGCAATATGCTGCTTAAACTTATTTTACATTTAAAGACACTTGGTATAAGTAACAGGATCTTCTGTCAATAATTCTGAAGTCTGTGTGTTTCTTAATCCATGTACACAATGTTATAATTCAACTAGTTTTAATACACCACTAGACCATATGTAAGTGTGAAGCTGAGTATTGAAAATCTCATTTCACAATACTGAGCCGGGAATTTTCCCTTATTGTTGTAACAGTCTCCCTTCTCCTGGAAAGTCATTTCAATCACAGTCTGATGTTTGGCCTTTAGACCTGGCTAACAGTGACTTGGTGGTAATTGTGTGCACCTACAGTGACATTTCTGTCCTTCCCCCCTCCGAAGCTGTCTAAGCTTCTTCTTGCATGCTGTATGGAATCACTAAGAAGTGTCTGTGGACAGAGGGAGAATAGATATAACATAATGTCCCTTCCACATCCATCAACTGGAGATTCTCACTTGACACAAGACAGATCTGTCACTACAGGTCCACAGAATCACCGTCAATGAGGAGGGCTTGTTGTATGCAAGGGATGTTCTCTCTGTTGGATATATTTAAGTGAGAAACAGACTTTTTGTTATCCCATCAGTGGTGCTCTTCCCCAGTTATGCAGGACTTCTGCAATGCTAGCTTGTTGGTTATAATTTATAAACAGTATGTTAGTTCAATGCCTTGTCTTTCACTGTTTCCATGTGGTGCATACCCCGAGGTAGTCCATCAATATACCCCTTAGCAATGTGATACACACAGTGATGCATATTTGTTATAGGCTGTCTAGGCCTAGCTGGGTCAATGCGCCCACCACACAAGGCCTATATCAGATGCATATACAAGATCTCCAGTTCATACAGTCTGCTAACAAACCACATTTATTGTTGAAAGCCATTCATACTAATATTTTGTTGTATAGAAATGTACTGTACATTAGATTTGTGCATTTGGTTTCAAACAAATTGCCATTCCTACCATCTAAATTTTGGGCAATCGCCTGATATTTCAATTTCCAAATCACCATATGGACAAACCAAGTGAAACAACAAATGAAAAAGGTATTTTGTTTTTTTCCACGACCCGGAGTTCTGGACATGTCTCCAAAAATAAAGAAAAAAAACGTAGATTGATGGTTGAGGGACAGCCACAAAATGTTATACACACATTCGGTGAGAAGTGACCAATAGAAGAAAAGAAAGGAGGAGTATAAAAAAAAAAAATTTAAAAATTGAATCTATATTTATATATATTATTTACATACATTTTTGCTGCTCCTTATTTTACCTTTATTGGTTACTTCTTCTCACTTGATCTTTAAAGCAAATGGCCTGAAAATGTTTATTTGTATTGATATATTCTGCAGTACAATGATAGGTGCATTTTTGGGTAGTCCCGAAATGATCGTATGAACAAAACTTGTCTGAGCAAAAATGCCACCTGGACAAAACCTTTATTACCCAGAGCAAATTTTTTCAGATTCATTTATTTGAAAATACCAAGTTTTTTTTGCTGTGCAGACGTACATACATACCAATAGCAAAATAAATAAATAAAGAAACCAAACAATCAGACCACTCTGACCATAAGGTCTCCTCTCTTATGATTCTTGTGTGTGAACATTCTTACCTAAATCTTGTGACTTGGCTGTCAGAGTGCTTAACTGACATTTCAATGCATTGGAAAGCCTTCCTAAAAAGCTTTTCTCTCCTTGAAAGTGCAGTGTGCGTGGAGCCCCTTAAGGATATATATATTTTTTTTTATGTCTTTTTTTTTCATTTATTTTTTTCATTGCATTTCTTTTGCAGTTCAGTTTGTTGTTATTTTTAATAGTAGTGTTGGGTTATTATAGTTTTTATCTGGCCTGAAAACAGATGATTTAAAGGGACACTTCACTGCCCAAATACAAAATGAATTAAAATTACTGTTTAGTAGATATACCCCAAATGAAAACATGCATGCATTTAATTATGCATTTCTTTTTTATTGGAGTTATATCTAAAAACAGTTTGCAAAAAAAAACCAGCAGTTCTCTTCTCTGCTAGAGAAAAAGATATGAGGGCTGCGCCAAAAGTCCAGTGAAGTATTGGTGGATCGTCGAAGATACTGGATAAGGTTTCCTAGTGAAGGTAGTTACGTCTGGTTTTGACCGTTCAGTATATGAAAATACAAGAGAGGTAGAGGCGACCAATGGTGTAGTATGTAATATTCAAGGTGCGGTAGGTAACAAAAGTAAAGAACTCACATTCAAGAGAGCTATGACCAGCTCTGGTGTGGATCGCATACAGCGGTATAATCCCAGTTTATGGGATATGTAGGGGAGGACTCTCCGTCAGCGCTGTCTGGTAATCCAAAACTTGGAAAAGGAGATAGAAGCAACAATAGTGCTCTCAATTGTGATATAGTTGGATGTGCAATAGATAGAAAAAGAAACTCACATTTGAGGGAGCTGTGGCCAGCTCTGGTGTGGATAGCGTACAGTGGTATAATCCCCGCTTGTGGGATCTGTAGCAGTAGTACGTCCGTCAGCACCGTCTGGTAGTCCAAAGCTCCAAGAGAAAGGAATAAAAAGCAGCAATAGTGCTCTCAATTGTGATGGGATACAGGAGTAAAATAACAGATAAAATAATACTCACAAAGATAGAGCAGAGGTACTGCTCTATGGCTTGGCATTGGAGGTATGATCCCCACCTGGGATTTCTTGGAGTACTGGAACAGTAAAATTGCCAGTGGGAGTAAAAGTAGCAGGAACGTTTAAAATGTCAGGAATAAGTAAAAAAGTTTAAAGTGCATAGAGAGTGCAATAAAAAGAGGATTGGTACGGTGAGGTAACCAAAAAACCTTTATTGTTCTAAAATACACAGTAAAATATAAGAGTAATAAACCATAAATGTGTTTCACCATAAGTGGCTTCTTCAGAATGGGATAAAATGATAACCTGGCAGAGGGTGTTTAAATAGGGCTGTTGTAATTAGGAAATTGCGCCAAAATTGTGATTGGCCAATCAGAAACAGTGTTGGAAATAACAGATCAAAATACTGATTTAGAAAATTAGGGTGGAAGGGGTATAAGATTAGAATGTATAAAAATTAATTTGAGGTTAAAACAAGTAGTTTAACAGTGTTAAAATGTGTAATTATTATTGGTCACGTGATGCGGCCGGCAGGGCATTATGGGGATTGGAGTCAGGTAGCGCCCGGTTGCGAGGTGTAAGGGAGAGTGGTGGGGAGAGTGGGCGTGACTGATTGCGTCATGCGATCAGTCAAAATGCCGTCGGCCATATTGTGGCTGGCGGCAAGGACCAGGGAGGGAGGGGAAGAGAGCCAAACACGCACTGAACATGCGTGGTTGGAGAGCGCCCGGCAACGAGGTGTACGGGGGCATGGTGGGGAGAATGGGAGTGACTGATGGCATCATGCGATCAGTCAAATGCCGTCGGCCATATTGTGGCTGGCGGCAAGGACCGGGGAGGGAGGGGAAGAGAGCCAACCACACACTGGGCATGCGTGGTTGGAGAAATACCAAACCTATAGTATGGGATTCGGGTAGTTGAAGGGTAGGTGCCACAGTGGGGGAAAAAGGAGCAAAAAAGGTGTAAATAAAGAAAGTAATACAGAATAAATAATAAATACATAAGTCACAGTGGGTGGTGCATATAGATACGGAAGTTGCATAAGAAAGTAAAATGCATAGTGAATAAGAGTACATGGAGAGGGATGTACATACGAGGTTAATACAGTGTAAGGCATATAAGTTAAAAAGTTAAATAAAATTAACCAAGTCAAAATCAACATTTAACCCAGATGGGGTAAGAGTTCTTCTAAAAACCCATTCCATCTCAGCTTTGCCAAGTATATTCTTAATGTTACCACCTCTCCATGGTGTTACACATTTTTTTATGCCAATACACTTAAGGAGTTTTGTGTCGTTATTATGTTGACAAAAGTGTTTAGAGACTGAATGATTGAGGTAGCCTTTTTTAATATTCCTACAATGTTCACGCAGTCTCACTTTAAGGTTTCTAGTGCTCATACCTACATGCTGGAGGCCGCAGGGGCACTCCAGTAGGTAGATGACGTTCTTGGTGTCACAACTGATAAAATCTCAGATTTTATAGGTCTTGTTGGTAATATTAGATTTAAAACTAATGGTTTTGGGGGGAACAGAGGGATCCGTGTTCTTACATACAATACATCTTTTACATTTATAAAAACCGCTGGCATTAGGCATAAAAGATTTAATAACAGGTTTGGTTTCTCTGGTAAAATTGGGGGCACCTCTAAAAACTACATTAGGTTTGTCTGGTATAATGGTTTTCAATATTTCATCTTCTTTTAAGAGGTGCCAGTGTTTTTTGATGATTCTTTTGATATGGCCACTTTTGTTGTTGAAATTAAAATTGATTGGAAGAGGCATTGAGTTAGTAGTTGGTTGGGTTTTGTAAGTTAGGAGGGCTGCTCTGTCTTTGTTGGTGATGGTGTTTATGGTGGTGTTGAGACGGGTTGGTGAGTAGTTTTTCTCAATATTTTTTTTTTTTTTAAATTGGCCTGTGTGTTAAAGTCTTCTATTTTTGAGCAGTTCCTTCTAAGGCGTAAAAATTGGCTTTGAGGGGCACTTTCTAACCACAGCTTGTAATGGCAGCTTGACCTTTCAATAGCCGTGTTAACACAAACTTTTAAAAAAATTTTTTTGGTGTGGATGGTATTGTCTCTAATTAAAATTTTCTCTGCTGCCTTTGCAAGATATCCTCTTCTAACCCTGCCAAGACTTTCTGTGACTGTCCAATCACATACTTCCCAATGCAGTTCCTTGAGAAGTCTTTGCGAGGCAGGTGCTCTGAGCTATTGCTGCCTCTTGAGTTCAGTGCAATAAGCTAACTAAACCAGGATGTAACAGGACCCATTGTCTCCTTGAAAATCCAGGGAGGTGTAACCAGATTAATTTATAAAAGTGTAAATTTCTATTGAAATCTGCACTATTTCCGAAAATAAAAAAATAGGGTACACTCTTCATCCATAAAGCTTTTCAGCAAGCTAAAGTGCTTTAGGGGCTGAAGTGTCCCTTTAAAAAGAAAGAAAACCACTAAAGGCAAGTTGTATGTATTTTTAGATTTATCGTGCCTCCTTAACATTATGAGGGTGAGGGATTAAGTAGATTTTTTTTTATTATGGGGATGAAGGCTCCTTGCCACCAAGGTTTGGGGTGAGAAGGCACTGTTTAGTGGGGAACTTTAGAATATCTTCTCACAGATTTAGGTGTAGAAGGTCAGTGGTCATTGTGCATGACTTGTGGGGGGATAGTTAAAAGCCTGAGGATCCCTATTCACTTGGTGGTGGATGAAATAGCCTATTGTTTGGCTTGGGAAGACTGTCTGGTGCCCTCCCCCCCGCCCTTGATTAAAGTTTAGAGCCTCTCCTATCGCTCATGGGTGAGGATTGCAATTTTTTATTACAGTAAGCAGTCACTGATTAATTTCTCTTTAGAAAACATGCCCCCACCACGGTAGAGAAGGAAGGGGCATAACAGAAGGCTTTATTCCTCCCTTATGCTATTGACCCCCCATAGGCTTTTTCTAAAAAAAAATTGTTAACATGTCAATTTGGTAGCTGGATAGTAATAACAGCTCATCTATTGCAAATTTGGTTTGTTTCATGATCCCTCCATATAGCATAAGTCCACACGGAATGCATTCATGCACAAACAGCATGAAGCACACATGCAGCCATTCATACACACACACACAATTAGCCCCACACATACATAAACATATATACCTATATATACACTGATCAACCACAACATTAAAAGCATGACAGGTGAAGTAAAAAACATTAATTATATTGTGACAATGACACACGTTAAGGGGTGGGATAGATTAGGCAGCAAGTGAACAGAAATTCATGTGTTGGAAGCAAGAAAAATAGGCAAGTGAATAGATCTGAGTGACTCTGACAACAGCCAAATAGTGATGGCTAGATGACTGAGTCAGAGCATCTCCAAAATGACAAGTCTTGTGGGGTGCTCCCAGTATGCAGTGGTTAGTACCTAACAAAAATGGTGCAAGGAAGGACAACTGGTGCACTGGTATCATGGTTATTGGCACCCAAGGCTTATTGTGGCACGTGGGGAGCAAAGGCTAGCCTGTCTGGTCCGATCACACAGAGGAGCTACTGTAACTCAAATTACTAAAAAAACGTAATGTTGGCATCATAGATGTGTCAGAACACACAGTGCATTGCAGTTTGTTGCAAAAGCACTGAAAGTGCCTTCTAGGGGGACGTGAGCATCAGAACTGGACCATGGAGCAATCGAAGAAGGTTGCTTGGCCTGATGAATCACATTTTTATTTACACTGAACAAAATTATAAATGCAACACTTTTGTTTTTGCCCCCATTTTCCATGAGCTGAACTCAAAGATCCAAGATGTTTTCTATGTACACAAAATACCTGTTTCTCTCAAATACTGTTCACAAGTCTGTCTAAATCTGTGTTAGTGAGCACTTATCCTTTGCCAAGATAATCCATCCACCTCACAGGTGTGGCATATCAAGATACTGATTAGACAGCATGATTATTGCAAAGGTGTGCCTTAGACTGGCCACAATAAAAGGCCACTCTAAATGTGCAGACTTGACAAATTTGTGAACAATATTTGAGAGAAATAGGTATTTTGTGTACATAGAAAAAGTCTTAGATCTTTGAGTTCAGCTCATGAAAAATGTTGTGTTTATAATTTTGTTCAATGTAGATCACGTGGATGGACGGGTGCATATGCATCCTTGACCTGGGGAAGAGATGGCATCAGAACTATTTGAAGAAGGTAGGCCGGCGGAGGCAGTGTTATTCTCTGGGCAATGTTCTGCTGGGTAAACTTGGATCCTGGCATTCATGTGGATGTTACTTTGACACATACCACCTACCAAGAGATTGTTACAGATTATGTACCCCTTCATGGCAATGGTTTTCTCTGATGGCAGAGGTGTCTTTCAGCAGGATAATGCACTCTTCCACACTGCAAAAATTGTTCAGGAATAGTTTGAGGAACATGATAAAGATTTCAAAGGTGTTGCCTTGACCTCCAAACACCCCAGATCTCAATACAATTGAGCATCTGTGGGATGTGCTGGGGCCAGTCCATTGGGGCCCCATCTTGCAATATGCAGGATACAGGATTCTGGATACCACAGGACACTTTTGTGATCAGTATATAATGAACAAAACACACACACTACCAAACGTACCCAACTTAAAAATAATAATATGTACAAAAACAGTGACCCTGCTATTCCCTCCAGATGCTATCTAGACACAGGCCTAGTCAGCCCATGCATATATACACATCTGGTTACATCTGGTTACACAGTAACACCATGGTGATATGGTGATAGCCTGCACTGGAAGAGACACATAACTCCCATCATCTCTGGTGCTGTGTATGTTTACATGGGTCTTACAATTTACTTTCTCATTACTGGTTAAGGTAATTAATACTGCTAAAATAAAATAAGAAGATGATTAAGGGCTTGGTGTGATGGACTTAATGGGGATTAAATAAAATAATAAGGGAAAGGGAATGGTGAAGAAAAAAATAAAAAAGTGGGAAAAGATCAAATGAAAGACTAGAGATAATGTGTGTTGCAACAGAATATTGGACTAATATGATATATGATAGGAGAAGGTGTGAGACATGGTATTAAATGGTATGATGTTGGCAGAGCATAAAAAATGTCAAAATGGTGGGCTTATCATTCTAACAACCACCTCTATCATACCATTAAATATAATAATAGGGGATATGGCATGAAATTAAAGAATGTGGGATTTCAGATGTAAGTCAAAGCATTACATGGCAGAATATGTGAAATAGCAAAATGGGAGCCTTGTTATGTGAAAAATGTCAGAACACGTGTTCTGGCATGGAATGGTAGAATATGGAGCTTGTCATGGGAGATGACAGGAAATGGTAAAATACAAGATATGGCAGCTTGTTGAGCTGGTCATTAAATGAAAAAGTTATAAAAGGGAGGATGGGAGATTTCATAAAGTGACTGGACATTAAAAATATTAATAATATGTAGACACTCTGTTGGATAGAATAAACACATTGAAATCCTAAATACACACTCATACACACACTACACACTCATACACACACTCCCAATTGAGAGCTTTCATCAGGACTACAAACATTCACTAATGAACAGACATGGATTATATACCTTTGCAGTAAGTAAACATTTAAATCCATTTGGGTAAATGCACATGCTACATATATAGTCACATTCTCACATTACACATTCTTATACATTTAAACACCCATTTATATAAAATACACATATTATTATATACGTATAAAATCCAAAAACGTGCACTTCTTTTTATAACCAATATAGCCCAGTGCAGGTTTGGCAAAAATTGTACAAAAAAACAAGGAAAAAACACACTCCAGGGACTTAATATTACAAAATATAAAATGTTGCTTTTATTTACATGATCCAATAAAATGTCAATGTTTCATCTCGCAACTGAGAGCTTTCATCAGGACAGCAGGCATACACTAATGAACAGACATGGGTAATATACCCTTACAGTAAGTAAACATATATGTCCATTCGCGTACATGTACATACTACATATATAGTCACATTCTCACATTACACATTCTTATATATTTAAACACCCATTTACATAAAATACACATATTATTATATAGGTACATATTTAACGTATGGCATAATCATATTCTGGGTGTTTGGTAAAAGATGGTTGGTGGGCAAAGGAGAGCATATTCTTATCTGAGTCTAAGGCAGTAAAACAAAGGTTACATACGTCACCAAAGAAATGACAAATATAACTTAAGCAATATCAATATTGCATGGCTTTATAAACAGGCTTGACCACACTATCTTCATGTTGAATAATGTGTTTGTTTTACACTCATCAAACGTAGCTCAAAAGCTATTATTATCTACCTGAAGCAATATATTCTAAAAAAAAAACTACGTCTCCAGAAAGAACATTATTATAATTCATTTTTTTATTAATTAATTATTAGCATTAATTATTACTAGAACAAATTATGATTTGTGAAAATATTTTTTACTTGCCCAGCTTTTAAAACCAGGAAAGGCAATATTTGAACAGATATCTTCTTTTAAAGCTTTATTAGATGCTGGTAAATTAAAAAAGAAAAAAACACCATAACGAATACTTTAGATTTCATACAATTGTAGGCACACTCCATATAGATTGCATACCTTTGTGTAATTGGTTTCCAATAAAAACATAACGTCTGCAGGACCCTAAAGTAGGGGCTTATGTAGTGACAGACCTGTGTTCTAGTGAGCTCAATAACTGTATCCATTTTATGTATCCGGTCAAGGTCTGAAAGCCTTATTAGTCTGTCAGTTTCTCCCTCCAATCCCCCACAGAATTATCTAAAATGTTATATAAATGCCTATTCTTTTTGAGGATTGTTCCTTATCCAAGCAAGCGGTATTAATTTTCTGTTCCCTGATCACAGCTGCTCCAAACGAGGATTACCATACAAAGATGTTTTGCCAGGTAGGTTGCTGGTTGCCGGGTAACTGCACTGCACTGTAAATTTCATGAGAGAATTGGCCAAGATTAGGGAACATCAACTAATGCTGTTTGATCAGCTAAGGGTCCAATCAGCAGCAAGAGACAGAATTGATAGAACATGGTGGATTATCTCCCCCAACTAGGAGATTGGAAGTCAGATAGAGGAATAACAGGCAAATAGTGCTGTTATCAAACCTCATGTCATACAGAGATTCTGTGTAAAGGCTATACGAGTCACTTTTCATATATTTACTCTGTGCAAAGAAAGAAAGAAAGAAAGAAAGAAAGATATTAAACAGTAAATATTTATTATATTAATATATTACCCTTGAATGGAAGAGGTAACTGTATGCAATTTCCTGACATGAGGTGCAATAATATATATTTGTAATATTATGGGTTTTAAAAATAAAACAAACGTCTGAACCTGTTTATAGAATAAACGGTCTTTATATGGACTTTGTAGGACTGAAAATTTAAATGTGGACTCATAAACACTGTGAAGTAGGATACTGGATAGATTAAGGAAAAAGCACACCATTCTGTGAAAGAAATGTAAAAAACTCAAGTGTTACCTTCCTGAAGAGAGTCTGGTAAAACCTGCAAATTTAGTGAGGTAAACATGTTCACAAAAGGTGAACCATCTCTACAATACTACATGACATTTCCACCTCTGTGGAGGAAAAAAATAATGCCCTGGTTGAATCTTTCTACAAAGTACTTTGTATACTGATATAATTAAGTTTCAGAGTGACAGGACTGGCTACATACAATAAACAATGATTTTTTATTTTGGCCTTGGAACAAATCTGTTAGAATAGAAGGCAATTAAATTATAATTAAATTATAATCAGTAGGGTCTTTCTTTCCTAGATTATTAGCTAAAATAGTCAGAGGAGCCATGGATATTCATTGTGCTGAAAGTAAGTTGTGTACAATTTGACATGACAAGGAAAGAGTTCTGAAGTTTCTGTACTACTAGAAATATAAGATATACCCAACACCCATGTATGATGTTATAGTGCATGTGTCATGATCATGTATACCAGTGCAAGTTAATGTGACTGCCTGAAAACTACAGCACTATGAACCTTATTTACTGCGAGGTGAATTCCTACCATGTACTGACATACTCCATACACCTCAAGTAACACTGGTAGTCATGGCAACTCCTTATAGTTTTAGGCCAAATTGCAATTCTTCGGAATTTTGGCCGATCTTCGTTTCGTCCAAATTCCATAACTCCAAATAGCCAACTGAAGCAACCGAAACGGACAATGGACAAGCCATTTGTTTTTGCATTTCAAAAGGATGTAACAGGATTCAGTACATATAGTATTGCTATATATACATATAAATATATGTATTAAGGCTAAAGCCTGTAATTGTGAGAGGGCTATTTAACCTTAATCCACCCTCTTACCTGGACCATTCCCAATCAGGTAGGTATCAAAGTAGAATTATTAAAACTTGGTTTGCGGTAATAATAAAATATAAAATTAAATATAACATTTCTTTTAGTGGTCTGAGGAAGTCCAGTTACTGGAAGAAATGTGTTGGATCATTATATTTGATTTTATATTTTAAATCAAGTTTTAATAAATCTGCTTTGATACTCATCTGGAGTCCTAATGGATTTGGCATAATCCATGGATATGTTAGACTTAGGAGAACATGGTTTCTTCTGGCTACCCATTGATATCAGAGGAGACAACCACAAAGCACTATAGGCTGCTAATTGTTTTTGTAGATTTTCAGCTGTATCCATATTGTGTCTATTATATATTGACTGTTTGAACGGGGTGCCATATGGGAAGGTTCCCTTGGGAAGCTGTACAATTAAGTTATATATTTTTTTCTACATCTGACCTTATTTGGCGGAGGTGTCGTGTATGCATAAGAATGTATTTAAACCTGTATTTCTCCTGGACTAAGCTGTTTATTGCTGACCCATGTCATAAACCATATTAATTTAGCTTTTCCTTTATTCGTTTATATTTGCATTTCAGTATGCTTATATACGCTGTGCTCTGCTGATACACCTGCCTAATTCAACTAACAGGCAAACAGATAAAAGAAGTTCATGCTGTTGAGAATAAAATGTATTGAATGAATTGATAATGTAAGGTCTTTCATAAGAATTATCAGTCATGTTAGAAGGAAAGTAACCAAGTCAAAGTTCCTATCACATAACCCATTGTCAAAACATTACTGAATATACAGCTATTTTATATATAGACTAAATACTTTATGAATTCTGCTGTTCATATCAGAACTAGGCAAACTAACAGGCAATTCTAAAGATAAGATTTTTTTTGACCTTTGCTAAATTTACTTCAATGTACTTGGGGAGAATATGAATTAGTATTAGTTTGTGCTGGTATCACTGTAAAAATGCATTGTTATTTTTTCCAGGGGATACGCCAAAACCTGTCTTGGGGAAGAGATCAAAATGGATTATATTAAAGTGATATTGATTTTGTGTCAGCAAAATAAAGACTTAAAATAAAAATAACAAAAAGAAAGAATGAAATATGCTGCTTGGATGAGTATTAAGACATTGTATTGTAGACGTTTCCAGTTTAAACAGATTTAAAAAAAAAGCTGGTATTGGTTTTCAGGGAACACTCAGCCTATCCCTACCCCAATGAAAATCTATTGGGCACATTATGGATCTGTGCACTTAAAGGGACATGATGATTAAAGAGCATTTTACAAAGGTTAGAGATACAGCAGTACATACAAATAGAGCAATATACATGTATAATAATATTCATGTCAGCACAGCTGGATCAATAATCCGGAAGTACAAGATGCATCTTACTACCCAGGCAAAGCCAAGAAAAGGCCATAGCTCACATTTAGTGCTCGGACCAGGAGCTGTCAGTGACCTGCAGGTACAAAAATGATATCAATTTCACAGGCCAAAGTCAGGCTAAACAAACAAAAAAACATGGAGCAGACTGAACACACCAGAAACAATCAGATAAGAAGATGAAACTTTGTAAAATTAGGCATGAACTAAACACAAGCAATATGGACGCAAAGGCTAGAATGTGCTGGTATCTAACAAAGCCACAGGAAAGGGGTATCGGCTAGTATTGGCAAGAATCTCAACATTGGACACTTAAAGGGATACTCAAGACCCCTATAGAACTTCAGCTTCATGAAGTGCTTTATGTATAAAGAGTGTGTCCAGTTTTTGTCACATTTGAATAGAAATTGGTACTTTTATAAATGAAAGAGATACTATAGGCACCAAAAGGCACTATGTGAATCATCACATGTAGGGCAAACCAAAAAGACATGGGAATCATTATATAAGGAGACGAGGACTGCTGTTGTCATGTGGCTGTTTTAACCATGAAGGCAGGAGCTGTGTCTATGAAAACAAAAGGAAACAAGCAAAACATGCTAGTCACTTTTTTAGGAGAAGAAAGGACCAGAGAAGACCCAGGTTGTTACTGAAGCTCACTGTAGCATACCGCACAACCTGGACAATTTTATATATTTTATATATATGGTACTTCTGAAATGTAAAAGATTACTTAAGCGTAAAGAGAGTTAAGAGATTTCTTAACTGTCAATGGGACCTGATGGAATACACCCAAAGCTATTAAAAGAGCTTAGTGGTGTACTAGCAAAACCATTAACAGATTTATTTAACCAATCATTGTTAACAGGAGTAGTCCCAGAAGATTGGAAGTTTGCGAATGTTGTGCCCATTTAGTAAAAGGTAATAGGGAGGAGTCGGGCAACAGTAGGCCAGTAAGCCTTACTTCAAAGTGGGAAAAGTGGATAGGAGAAAGTCTCTATGGATTTCAAGATCAGAGACAACATGGGTTTACTTCAGGAGATCATGCCAAACTAATCTTATTGATTTTTTTGATTGGGTAACTAAAATTATAGATCAGGGTGGTGCAGTAGACATTGCTTACCTAGATTTCAGTAAGGCTTTTGACACTGTTGCACATAGAAGGCTTATCAATAAACTGCAATCTTTAAGTTTGGATTCCAATATTGTTGAATGGGTAAGGCAGTGGCTGAGTGACAGGCAACAGAGGGTTGTAGTTAATGGAATATATTCGAAGCTTGGACTTGTCACCAGTGGGGTACCTCAGGGATCTGTACTTGGACCCATTCTCTTTAATATTTTTATTAGTGATATTGCAGAAGGTCTTGATGGTAAGGTATGTCTTTTTGCTGATGATACTAAGATATGTAACAGGGTTGATGTTCCAGGAGGGATAAGCCAAATGACAAATGATTTAGTTAAACTAGAAAAATGGTCAGAATTGTGGCAACTGACATTTAATGTGGATAAGTGCAAGATAATGCATCTTGGACGTAAAAACCCAAGGACAGAGTACAGAATATTTGATAGAGTCCTAACCTCAACATATGAGGAAAGGGATTTAGGGGTGATTATTTCTGATGACTTAAAGGTAGGCAGACAATGTAATAGAGCAGCAGGAAATGCTAGCAGAATGCTTGGTTGTATAGGGAGAGGTATTAGCAGTAGAAAGAGGGAAGTGCTCATGCCATTATACAGAACACTGGTGAGACCTCACTTGGAGTATTGTACACAGTACTGGAGACCGTATCTTCAGAAGGATATTGATACCTTAGAGAGGGTTCAGAGAAGGGCTACTAAACTGGTTCATGGATTGCAGGATAAAACTTACCAGGAAAGGTTAAAGGATCTTAACATGTATAGCTTGGAGGAAAGACGAGACAGGGGGGATATGATAGAAACATTTAAATATATAAAGGGAATCAACACAGTAAAGGAGGAGACTATATTTAAAAGAAGAAAAACTACCACAACAAGAGGACATAGTCTTAAATTAGAGGGACAAAGGTTTAAAAATAATATCAGGAAGTATTACTTTACTGAGAGGGTAGTGGATGCATGGAATAGCCTTCCAGCTGAAGTGGTAGAGGTTAACACAGTAAAGGAGTTTAAGCATGCATGGGATAGGCATAAGGCTATCCTAACTATAAGATAAGGCTAGGGACTAATGAAAGTTTTTAGAAAATTGGGCAGACTAGATGGGCCGAATGGTTCTTATCTGCCGTCACATTCTATGTTTCTATGTCTTATCACCTTTATTTCCACAGTTACCTTATTACTTTCCATTTATTAAATCATTTGAATAAAAGTGATATTTTAACCCGAAACTTCTTGTTATTGCAATCTATTTGTAAGCATTGATTGGAGACATAAAGATTAGTAATTTACTTTCTTTTAGCTAATATTCCCAGAACTATCAATATGTTTATCAGAAACTCTGTAAAAAGACTGGCCTGTGTAGGATAGAAAGAAGGACCCATTACTCTATAAAGCATATTCAATGTTAGCTGCGCATGCACACCTGGTCCCCAATGAGGAGCATTAGATTGGACCATTGCAGAGAAGGCCATGCCTCCTCCATAATATCAAAGGAGTCAGAGAGGTGAACAGGAAAAAGGTAAGTATAAAAAGGGTAAGTAAAAAAAGAAATTTGATTATTTTTGTGGCAAATAAATACCACTAGGGACAGCGACACTATAGAGTTTTAAACAAAGGTTTGTATTCAGTGTTCTTTTAGAACAGTATTTCTGGGGTAATTTTTTATAGTGATGACATTTTATAGTATAAACTACTTATAATGTAGTCCTACTATGATCCCAAGAGCAAGAACAACATTGGAGTAACTCAAGAACAAAACTGTGATTATCCAAATATTCCGTTACGAATGTAGTAATAATCCATGGAACTATTTATAAATGGTGTTGCACAATCGTTCTGTAGCTGATTTGGACAACCATGATCAAATCAGTCAGAAACCGTATATTATGGTTAAACTTCCTCTCACTCTGAATACACATTTTTGACATATTTACTTAAAAATATTTCTTTATGTTATTACAACTACAGGTAGATGTTTAAATGTTTAATATGAAAGTTGTGATCTGTTAGTTTACGCCAAATGGGACCCTAACAATCAGACAGCAGCTAAGAGAGGAAGTTAATCTGGCTTGGTAAAACAATCAATATCTTTTGTCTTATGGAAATATGCAACTATTAAAAAAACATTGACATTCTCAATACAAATTAAAATGAAGAGAAAAATAAAATAAAACATAAAACCTTGCTATTACAGTTTGGGGTTGGCAAAAGAAGCACTAAAAGCCAAGCCCCTTTCTAAATACAGATAAATGATTTGAGCCAGGCAACTGTATTTACTGTGTTTGGTCTTTGCCCTAAAGCAACAATTTTAATTGCAAAGGAAAAGTCAGTAGTAGAAATGTGAATACGTTCAATGTAGCATCTATTTGGAATTCAAAATCTACACACAGTACTTAAAGCCAGTTTAAAATGTCACTATTAATCTAAATTGATATATTTAACATCACATCTTTGCTAATAAAGCAATATATTAGTTTATTAAAAAAAACAAAAAACAACAGGTGAGAAAAAGAATTTCTGTTATAACTGACATATTTTGGATTTCTTGTCGTGGCTGAACCCATTGGATTGTATTTAAGTGACTGCATAATATTGTGCACGTGTGCTTGCTATGGATATACTGTATTTTTAGAATTACGGTTCCATTCATTAATTAGTTTAGTTCTAGCTAACTTTAATAATTCATCTTGTTTCCACAGAATTAAAACGGGAGTGCAGGATACGTTCATGACTTACGAAGTGTACAAAGATGAAATAACATTGCAGTTAGTTGACAAGGCATGCCAAATGCTGGGTAAGTATGGACTGAGCATAGGCGAGTGCAATAGAAAAGTTGTATAATATTTCAGCTTGGGGATGGCAGAGTCCTAGCAGCCAAAGCATCTTAGTAAGTTTATATTTCACAGTAAAATAGAATTTGACAACAGTTCTAAGACTGTCAAGCAGAATGTCCAGAACTCTTCTCTTGTGTGATCTTAGAAACACAGAGAATAGATGGCATATAGAAGATCTGTGTTTTTGGCTTTATCAGCCTGCTGTACAGTTTGCAGAGTGTCAATGTTGTAGCTAAAATATAATATGCGATTGATCTCTTAAAATTTGCTGCCTACATTGAAACTGCAAAATTGTCCTGGCCAGGTAGCCAATAGACATTTTGAATCAAATCATTCTAGCCCTATTTTAGTCTTAACAAGCAAAACAAAGTAATTTAGCAGAACAACACTACTAGATTGTGTAGTAAACTAACTGGTCAGGTTTAGCTATAAAAGGAAGCCACTCGCTGTGTTATTGGCTTCAATTACAGTGTCTGTAAAATTCCAATTATGTAACCAGTGAAAACAGCATGGCAGTGGGATCCTGGGCATACGTTCTGGGGTTACTGTAATATGTTTTCAGTGGTGTAGCAGTAAGTGTAACACCACTGATAACATGACTGATGCTCTCAGCAGGAGACAAGGAAATTGGAAATAAATTAAAATGTGATCTTTTAATAGTATTAAATCAGCAAACACTTATTTGTTTAACATATGTCAATCCGGATTATTAGATAACTGCAGATCTACATCTGTCATGACAGGTTTACTTTGATGTGAAATATTCATTTACACCAGCATGTTCAAATAGTTCACATGGCGTCCTACACTTGGCATGTGACTATAGGCTTAGAAGCATTATGCATCATCCAGAAACCCATATACAGTTAATAGTAGTCTTTGCTGTTTTGTCAATAGCTTAAAGTTTAATCAAAAAGTGTCTTTGATGACATGTTGATAAGCACAAAGCATGTTAGATCCTTGTTTCTCACTTCCTACCAGTTCCAACTGTTGATCATTCATTATTTCACATCTTTCAAAATATCAATACTATTTTTCCAGGTAGAAGATTTTTTTTTGAGGGGGGGGACCCAGTGAATCACTCACTTGTTTTATTGTCTTTAAAGTAAATCGTATATATATATATATATTTTTCATCACACGTATGAGAGATTGTGCAAATTTATGAAATTATCTCTAACCACCATATTGCATAAACAGACCTCTTAATATTTAAAGGGTGTCTGGTGTCGCAAATAATTATACACCTTTGCCAGAATTTATAACAGCCAGAGCTTTTAACTCATGTATAGAAACCTCTAACAACACAACTATATTCCTGGGGACCGATGGTTGGGTAAAGACACTGACAAGCTCAGAAAAGCATTCTATAATCTAATAAAATGATCGATCCACTTCTAATGTATTGGGGCACAATAAATAATGTGGTAAAATCTAAAAAGTAGCCTTTATTAATGTCATGTCCTAAAAAGTTAAAACTAGAAATTCATCTTAAACCAAGTTCAGAAGGTAGTTATTGAAAATATAAATAATAGTTTTCTAATTAGTAATGCATGTAAGAACTATATGTTGATATATCAGGGCTCAAAAATTCCACTCTCTGCCAATGAAGAGAGTAAAATTTAGCTCTGGTGAGTAGAGATTCACCCTTTATGAATGTGCCATGGACCATCTAGGCTTGCAGTGGTGAGAAAAGTTTAGACCTGTCTTGAAATTTTGAGCCCTGTATATATTGTTCATCGCAGTAGAGAGCCCTGATATTTATTAATTCCTGTGAATTCTGTCCAGTGTTCTCCCGGACTTTCTCTAGAGTTTCCGTTGGGAACTTTAGTCTGTTAAACCTCTGTCAGACTGTCACTGGGACACGCTGTGCGCTTTCTCAGATCACTGAATCAGAAATCTTCTTCTTGATGTGAGCCATTGGGAGAGCAGCTAGGTCTCTCCTGAATTGCCAGACACAGAAACATTCTAAACCAAAACACGTTTTCAGGTTAAAGCAAGCAAAACTTCACTTCATTAAATGTATCACCCAAGGACACCAAGCCTCTAAGACCTTTCTTCCTGCTATAATTCTGTAATAAATGTTATTTGCTTATTTGTAAGGTGTATCACCGGAAGCTGTTCTACAGCAGTTCGGAGAGTATTTTTTCGAGTTCTGTAAAAGATCTGGATATGACCACATGCTGAGGACATTAGGTGGTAACCTGTATGAATTCATAGCAAACTTGGATGCTTTACACAGTTATCTGTCACTCTCCTACCAGGTAAGAGGGGAAACCAATATTTATTTAATTTTTCCAATAAATGCCGACTTCAGTACTGTGACACACATCACTGGTTGTGATTGCACTTTATATGGGACGTAGTAGTAGTAGTTATGGTACATTGCTAAATTATCTTAGGGCTAATTCTAGAACCCACAATAAGAAGCAGATATGGGAGCCTGGCATACAACTGGACAACTGCTGAACTTCACTGACAGGGTTACTCAGTAAAATGAGAATTACCAGGAATTCTAAATTAATTCAAAGTTAATTTCAAAATTTAGGCCAAAACTGCCGAATCAGTCAATATTGTTTTCAGTTTGGAAATTTTGAAATTCACCATGGATTCAAATTGAATTCCCTGCAAATAGCACTTTAGTTAATCCTGCAAGTGTCTGGCCCTGTTGTTTTCCATATAAAGACATCTGTGTTCTCAGGCCACAATTCTTGTAGCTTTTCTCACACTCAAGGGTAAGTCCAGCTAGCATATTAAGCGGGCAAGCTCTTATCTAGTTTACTGGCAGATGACTGACCTTGTCGCTTTTCTTTAACTAGCTGACTGCTGTCATGAACACACACTACTCTAAGTGTGCTTGTGACTTGGTTCCAGTTGTGCAAGGGTTTAAAATCATGATTTGACTACACTAGACCAAAAATAATGATTAAAAAAACTCTCTTAACACCAGCCACACTTACCCCCTTAAGGACCACACTTTTGGAATAAAAGGGAATCATGACATGTCACACATGTCATGTGTCCTTAAGGGGTTAAAGGAACACTCCAGGCACCCAGACCACTTCTGCCCATTGGAGTGGTCTGGGTGCCAACTCCCATTACCCTTAATCCTGCAAGTGTAATTATTGCAGTTTTCATAAACTGCAATATTTACCTTGCAGGGTTAACTTCTCCTCTAGTGGCTGTCTACATGAAAAGTGTGTTATAACAACGCTGGACGTCCTCAAGCTATGTGAGGACCTCCAGCGTCGCTGAAATCCAAATAGGAAAGCATTGAAAGCATTTTTCAATGCTTTCCTATGGGGAGGTCTAATGCACATTAGGTCTCACCCCGCCAGCGGCCGCGCATGCTCAATAGGTCTCCCCCGCCGCCGGGGGAGGAGGGTAAACGGACCCTGAACCAGCGCCAAGGGACATTGGCGCTGGATACAGGTAAGTCACTGAAGGGGTTTTAACCCTTTCAGCAACTTGGGATGGGAGGTGGGAGGGAGAGGGGACCTGCAGTGCCAGGAAAACGGTTTGTTCTCTTAAAGTCCCCTTTAACTCTAATATCCAAAAGCTGCCACCACCAAGGCAATTTATAAGAGAGGAAGCCTTCCTTTTCCCAAGCAAATTAGATAAACAACCAACTAACACAATTTAGGACAATATCTACCTGTATGCAATTATAAAAATACTATTAAATTGGTCTCTTCAGGTAACGTGATTCTTTATCATACGAAGATAGAACTTAATAAAGAAATATTTATAATGAAAAAGAAAGTGCATACATGAAAAATAAATAATGAACAAATGATTTACAGCAGCAACAGTTAAATATAAAAAGTCGACATTAACAGAAAGTAATGGTATCTTCTGTCTATGTGGAAAAAGTAATATTAATGCTGTTTCTGGCTGCACACTTGCATGGAGCTCTAGACTGACTCTCCGTCATACTGATACAATGCCAGATAGAAGTGCTTCTCAATGCGGGAAAGCCTTGCATTCCAAAGTCCGTTTCTGTATTCGCATTATCTGGAGTACCAGTACAAAATTGCTATAAGGCAGACAGTTTCTTGCTGGACATTTTCCGTGATCCCTCTCAGTTTTTTACCTCCAATGCAGACTATTTAGCAAAAGGCAGAATTGGATATTTCATTTGATTCTTGCAGAGCAAGATCTAAGACTGAGATAAGAATGTTATAAATGACCCTTCCTGATTAAGCATTCTTGGCAGCAGATCAAGGCAACGTATGATGTAATACTCCTGCACCCTATGTGGGACAACAGGAATGTCAAGGGCGATACATGCCACTGAATGGACACAATGCTAGACTACAACAATCAGAGTCATAGAGATCAGACAACCAGCAACCATTTATTATGTTACAAGGCAGATGAAAATGTGATCCAGCAGTGTATGCAGAACATTAATGAATCATATGAAACTTAAAATCTAATTTTTCTCCTGATTTACAAAGCACTCAAATGTAATTTTTGGCAAGTTTCCTTTCAGACACTTGTTCAAATGGATGCCTCAAGTAAACAATTATATGCATTCAGTTTAGAGACAGAATCATGTTTACTCATTCATAATTTTCTATAACGTCTGTAACTGAACACATTAATATAATTACATATCATGACAAAATAATATGCATGCAAATACTATTCACCGTGCCTTTTATTTATCTAGCCTATAAGTCTTCCTTTTAAGTTATCTCTATGTCTAACTATGAAAAGAATATTTCGATTTTTTGAAAATGAAAAGAGATCAGCGGTCAGATTGACAAAAAAATAGGACTGTGTATCGATGCATTGAATGCATGCCGTGGAAATGAATAGACAGTTCTGCTCATTCACAGCAGAACGGACAAGAAACAAAACTCTGACATTAGGAAAATAAAATACCCTCTCCCAAACATTAGTCTTAATTAAGTAGTTCCCTAACAAAAAAATAAATAAAGGGTAGAACATAATGCTGCTATGGTGATTGGTCAAGTAACAAAAAACTGCATTAAGTATAGAAACTATTTCCTTTTTTTTTATATATATAATTCTTTATTTTTGTAGTGCTTAGATTGGTATACTAGCTTGTAAAGACATAACAATAGTAGTTAATGTGACAAGATAAATTGTATGTATAGAACATGTCGAGAGATGTGCACTTTTTCAGAGTTAAACTTTCATGTCTAAACGCTACATGTAGGGTTATATGGCATAATAGAGACATGAATATTACAGCTACATAGTAATAAAACAAGCTAGAACTGAGAAATATAGCTAAATGCTTAAAGGACCACTATAGGCACCCAGACCAGCTCAGCTCAATGGAGTAGTCTGGGTGTTGGGTCCCCCTAGTTTTAATCCTGTAGCTAAAAAACATAGCAGTTTCAGAGAAACTGCTATGCTTACACTGCAAGGTTAATCCAGCCTCTAGTGGCTGTCTCCCTGACAGCCAATAGAGGCTGCTTCCGTGATTTACACCAAGTCCTCACGGAGTCCAGCGTCAAATAAGATCCTCATAGGAAAGCACTGAGTAACCCTGACAGAGATCCAAAACTGCACTTTTCAACTACATTACACTATTTAGTTACTTTGAATTTAATGCAACTATTTCTTCTACAGGCAATGAACGCTCCATCCTTTAGGGTAGAAGTGAATGATGATGGGTCAATGCACTTGCATTATTACTCAGATAGAAGAGGCCTTTGCCACATTGTTCCTGGTAAGATTTTTAGCATCCTACTTTGAGTTTTATAATACATTGACAATTTTAGAGATGCAAATGCACACTAGATTCATAAGATTGTCATTACTGTAGCGTATAGGACAACATTACCTGGGGAACCTGGGCTTTTTAGTTTTATTTTCTTGAACTGAATATGTTTGAAATATTTGTGAAATCTAGAGAGAATTTTGTGGATGCACAAAAAGGCACCTTTAATGCTATTTTATCTTTGTTGATAACCATTAATGGAGGTGGGGTTGTTGGTCGGAAGGCTTGTGACTCATTCGTCTTGCAGATGGGATGATAAGTAGACATGTTGCTTTGGCTAAACATAGGCATCAAGATGGTGCTAACAAATGTTAAAAAAACAAAAAACAAACAAAAAACAAAACACAACAATTGTTCAAGACAAATAATAAGATGTTGAATACATAACTTTGGAGAAAATGCATATATGAAAAAACAGAAATATAAGATAATTGTCATTGGCTAAATGAATGTGTAGCAGGGTTCAGGTATGTTCACAACAAACAAAATAATAGTTTCAACCACTCTACAATCATTTCAACACAAATTGTCTTTATTAAGCCATAAAGTCAGGTGTATCATACCACAAATATAAAGAGAATTTAAAAAAGTGTGTCATATAAATTAATCACTCACAGTAGAAAAATAATATTACTTGCACAAAATCCTAATAAAGTAATTTGTGCTGTTACACTGTGTTTCTTGCTCCAACAGATTCCTATGTGACTCTTGCTTTTTTGCAATGTTATTTCATACTCGTAATCTAGCAATTAAAATTCATTTGTGCTCTTAATTGAGGCTTATCACCTTAATGATTGCTATAATAACTTTCTTTCTTAACACATTAATCATTCTATTCTTCATAAATGAACTGTTTAGAATATAACATTGCAGTGTAAAAAGCAACTATACTCTTTGTGCTACTGTAGATAATAACTATAGCATATTCAACAGTGATGTTTGATATATATATATATTGTACATGTAATTACTAAATGGTTGCCTTGTAAAACAATCCTCCATCGTGACTCTCAAAATAAACAAAGTGAAATATCTGTAAATGTTACCGTTTAACACTCTATACTTAGATGAATTCATAGATTACATCTAAATGCTTTTGTAATGTTTTCAGAATTTTAAGTCTATCTATCTATCTATCTATCTATCTATCTATCTAAACTAGAAAAATGGCAGCTGACATTTAATGTGGATAAGTGCAAAATAATGCATCTTGGACATAAAATCCCAAGGGCAGAGTACAGAATATTTGATAGAGTCCTAACCTCAACATCTGAGGAAAGGTATTCAGGGATAATTATTTCAGATGACTTAAAGGTAGGCAGACAATGTAATAGAGCAGCAGGAAATGCTAGCAGAATGCTTGGTTGTATAGGGAGAGGTATTAACAGTAGAAAGAGGGAAGTGCTCATGCCATTGTACAGAACACTGGTGAGACCTCACTTGGAGTATTGTACGCAGTACTGGAGATCGTATCTCCAGAAGGATATTGATACTTTAGAGAGAGTTCAGAGAAGGGCTACTAAACTGGTTCACGGACTGCAGAATAAAACTTACAAGGAAAGGTTAAAGGATCTTAACATGTATAGCTTGGAGGAAAGACGAGATGGGGGGGATATGATAGAAACATTTATATACATAAAGGGAATCAACACCATAAAGGAGGAGACTATATTTAAAAGAAGAAAAACTGCCACAACAAGAGGACATAGTCTTAAATTAGAGGGAAAAAGGTTGAAAAATAATTTTAGGAAGTATTACTTTACTGAGATGGTAGTGGATGCATGGAAGAGCCATTCAGCCTTCCAGTTTAGAGGTTAACACAGTAAAGGAGTTTAAGCATGCGTGGGATAAGCACAAGGCTATCCTAGATATAAGATAAGGCCAGGGACCAATGAAAGTATTTAGAAAATTTGGCAGACTAGATGGGCCGAATGGTTCTTATCTGCTGTCACATTCTATGTTTCTATCTATCTATCTATCTATCTGTCTAGCTACAGTGAGGGAAAAAAGCATTTGATTTCCTGCTAATTTTGAGAGTTTGCCCACTGACAAAGAAATGATCAGTCTATAATTTTAATGGTAGGTGTATTTTAACAGTGAGAGACAGACTAACAAAAAATAATCCAGACAAAATGCATGTCCAAAAAGTTATACATTGATATCGACTTAGTACTTGGTGGCAAAACCCTTGCTGGCAATCACAGAGGTCAGACGTTTCTTGTAGTTAGCCACCAGGTTTGCACACATCTCAGGAGGGATTTTGTCCCACTCCTCTTTGCAGATCTGCTCCAAGTCATTAAGGTTTCGAGGCTGTTTGGCAACTCAAACCTTCAGCTCCCTCCACAGTGGCTAGGCCACTCCAGGACCTTAATTTGCTTCATCTTGCGCCACTCCTTTGTTGCCTTGGCTGTGTGTTTTGGGTCAATGTCATGCTGGAATACCCATCCACGACCCATTTTCAATGCCCTGGCTGAGGTAAGGACGTTCTCACTCAAGATTTGATGGTACATGGCCTTGTCCATCGTCCCTTTGATGCGGTGTACTTGTCCTGTCCCCTTAGCAGAAAAACACCCCCAAAGCATAATGTTTCCACCTCCATGTTTGACAGTGGGGATGGTGTTCTTGGGGTCATAGGCAGCATTCCTCCTCCTCCAAACACAAAGAGTTGAGTTGATGCCAAAGAGCTTGATTTTGGTCTCATCTGACCACAACACTTTCACCCAGTTCTCCTCTAAATCATTCAGATGTTCATTGGCACACTTTCTTGAGCAGGGGAAGCTTGCGGGCGCTGCAGGATTTTAGTCTTTCACAGTGTAGTGTATTACCAATTGTTTTCTTGGTGACTACGGTCCCATCTGCCTTAAGATCATTAAAAAGATCCTCCCTGTGTAGTTCTGGGCTGATTCCTCACCCCAGTCATTGAAACTCAGCTTCTGGACAGGTGTCTTTTATACAGGTAACGAGCTGAGATTAGGGATTGAAAAGCATTTCCCCAGTGGTGATTAAAAAAAAAAAACAGACAAAAATTAAAACATTTGCAAACAAAAAGGTAATCAATTGAAACAATTCAGCTATCTTAAGGGAAATCCATGTTCCCACAGCCAACATTGCGCAGAGAGTCACGTGTTGCATCATCCCACCCCCTGGACGTGTGACATCATCCTGAAGCCTCCCCTATCCCGGTACAGGTCAGGGAAGCCCAGAATGCACCATGTTTTTTGTGGGAAGTGGTAGAAGAGTGAAAGAGAGTGTATGGGAAAAAGAGAAGGGAAAAAAAGGAACATATAAAAATTACATGTACAAAGAGAAACTGTAGCGGAGATGCAATAATCCCCAGGTATCTCCGCTTATAATCCAAGTGAGGCTCAGGAACAAGTAAATTGTAAATCCATAGGCAAGGTCTCCAGCAGGCAAAATAACACAGCAATATCCCACAGCAATCCCAATAACTGGACGACACACAGTTTCAGGAGCCGAACTGAAATCTTTTAATCCACACTGTCCTTTTAAAGCATGCTCCCATGCAAGGTAGGGATTTACAATCATTAGTACAGTAGCCAATCCTGTCCTGGTAACCTCCCACACATCTCCTCCCCTCAGCCTGCATCATAATCCCCTTATCCAGTCTAGCAATTCCCCCCGTTTCTGGATGTACCCTTAAACGTAGGGGTACCCCTTTAAATCCTACATCCCCTGATAGCCCTGATCTGGGTGAACAACATATCCTAAAATCACCCAGATCAGACCAGGGGTTCGGGAAATGTATGGAGGGAATGAAATGACCGACTGCACTGACTGAGATAGCCAAATGCGGTTCCATGCGAATGGGCCCTGCGGTCGGTCCTGGAATAAGGGAACAAATTGCACGAAAGCCTCTAGCTATAGAGACTAGGGAGGGTTCACCTGAATCCCCTCGTTCGGTTCTTTCTATCTACCGAACGAGGGGCCGTTCGGTAGTTAGGAACCAAACGGACCGGGCTTGTGGAGGATTCAGCGGTGTTCACCTAGTCGAGTGTCCGATTTGAGTTCCAGACACTCGACGGCAAAACACCGCTGTTCGGGAGTTTTAAAATGGCCGCCGCCACGTGTTCGTTTGTCGAATGGCCTCTAGCTATAGAGACTAGGGAGGGTTCGCCTGAATCCCCTCGTTTGGTTCTTTCTATCTACCGAACGAGGGGCCGTTCGGTAGTTAGGAACTGAACGGACCGGGCTTGTGGAGGATTCAGCGGTGTTCACCTAGTCGAGTGTCCGATTTGAGTTCCAGACACTCAACGGCAAAACACCGCTGTTCAGGAGTTTTAAAATGGCCGCGGCCACGTGTTCGTTTGTCGAATGGCGGCCACCCCTGAGAACAAAGGACGGCTACTTCCCTTGTCAATTACCCGTTCGCAACAATATTGCAACGGGTAATTGATAACACACTTCACACAGGGGAGGTCTGACTGTTCGGTAGTTTCATTCGAACAAACCAAGGGAATTAAACTACCTTACATTCAGACGAATCCAATACATTTACACATATAACTTAGCTATTTCACACGAATATTCCCTTACTGCAAAGACATTTACCAAATAGACAAATACAGTTTAAACATAACATAAGTCCCAGGGCAGCTCGTGGCCATCCGCTACACTGCTCCCCCTTGCCCACAAGCCGGCATACACAGTCTGATCCAATACGGATCGGCTTGGGGATGTCCGGGGAGGCTCACGGATCATTTCTCCAGGTCAGTTTGTCTTGACAACCCGTCAGCATTTCCATTCTGTTTACCCGGGCGGTACTGGATATTAAAGTCAAAGGGCTGCAGCGCCAAACTCCAGCGCAGCAGCCTGGCATTGTCCCCAGCCACCCGGTTTAGCCAGACCAACGGGTTGTGATCCGTGAGCAGGGAAAAGGCTTGTTCATATAAATACGGCTGTAATTTCTTCAGGGCCCACACCACAGCCAGGCATTCCTTCTCGATGGCGGCGTAGCTTACTTCCCGGGGTAACAGCTTGCGGCTGATGTAAGCCACGGGGTGTTCTCCGCCATCGGCCCCGACTTGGCTCAGTACTGCTCCCAATCCAAACATAGAAGCGTCTGTGCGGACAAGAAAATGTTTAGTTGGATTGGGAGCTGCCAAGACAGGGGCATTGATCAATGCATCTTTCAACAGTTGAAATGCCTGCTCAAACTCCGGGGTCCAGGTCACTTGGCGGGGAAGGTTCTTACGGGTTAAGTCAGTGAGGGGTTTGGCCAGGGCACTGTAGTTTGGGACAAATTTCCGGTAGTACCCGGCCGTCCCTAGGAACGCTAATACCTGAGTCTTAGTCCTAGGGGTAGGCCATTGAGCTACCGCCTCTACCTTGGCTGGTTCTGGGTTCTGCTTGCCACATCCTACCCGATGGCCGAGGTATTGTACTTCGGCCATGCCTATGCTGCATTTGGCTGGTTTCAGCGTTAAACCAGCGGCCTTAATCCTGTCCAGGACCGCTCCTATATGGGTCAAGTGTTCCTGCCAGGTATTGCTGAAGATGGCAATATCATCGAGGTAAGCACAGGTATAATCTTGGAGCCCAGGAGGCGGTTCACCATCCGCTGAAATGTAGCCGGGGCGTTTTTCATCCCAAACGGCATGACCTTAAATTGGTACAAGCCGAATGGGGTGACAAAGGCCGACTTAGGGATGGCGTCTTGTGCTAAGGGAATTTGCCAATACCCCTTACACAAGTCAATAGTGGTGAGATAGTGCCCCCTCGCCATTCAGTCCAGTAGTTCGTCTATCCTGGGCATGGGGTAGGCGTCTGATACCGTCTTCTCATTCAGTCTCCGGTAGTCTACACAAAAACGGGTCGTGCCGTCCCGTTTTGGTACTAGCACTACTGGGGAAGCCCAGGGGCTGTCAGAGGGTTCAATCACCCCCAGCTGGAGCATCTCATCGATCTCCTTGCGCATGTTCTCCCGTACCGCTTCTGGTATGCGGTACGGGGTCTGCCGCATGGGGAGTTGACCTGGGGTGTCTACTCGGTGAGTGGCCAAAGGAGTGTAACCAGGTACATTAGAGAAGATATCCTGCTTCTCCCTCAACAGCTGTTGTACCTCGCTCCGCTCCTGTGGGCTCAGTCGGTCTCCCAGGGCAACTTCCCCTAAGTCCCCAGATAACTGACCCTCTCCTAGCAGATCCAGGAGAGGCAGACTGTCAAACTCTTCTGAGTTAGGCGCGCATATAGCGGTCACTTCCTCGGAGCGCTCTTGGTAGGGCTTCATCATGTTCACATGGAGCATGCGTCGCCCTCCAGTACCAACACACAAGCCTATTATATAAGTGGTGTCACACCTTTGTTCTACCACCTTATAAGGGCCCTGCCAGGCGGCCTGCAGCTTATCGTGTCGGACAGGTTTTAAAATGAACACTTTCTGCCCGACCTGAAAGCTACGGTCCCTGGCGCCCCGATCATACCATGTGCGCTGGCGTGTCTGAGCCACCTGTAAATTCTCACGTACCATCTGGGTTAAGGCCTCCAGGCGGTCTCGGAATGCCAACACATATGGTATGATGGGGGTACCGTCGGTGCTCCGTTCTCCCTCCCAATGCTCTCTGATTAAATCTAAAGGCCCTCGTACCCTGCGGCCAAACAATAATTAAAATGGGGAAAACCCAGTGGATTCCTGCGGCACCTCCCTGTAAGCAAAGAGGAGGTGAGGCAGGAATTTCTCCCAGTCCTTGTGGGTCTCTGCAAAGGTTCGGAGCATTTGTTTCTATGTACCGTTGAAACGTTCGCAGAGCCCATTCGTCTGGGGGTGGTAAGGGGAACTAATGACAGGCTTAATGTCACAGAACTTCCAGAGGCGCTGCGTGACTTCGGCGGTGAACTGGGTACCCTGATCAATCTCCCTGGGAAGTCCCACCCGGGAGAATATCTGCATAAGGGCGTCCGCTGCGGTTTCAGCCTGTATATTCGTCAGGGCCACCGCCTCTGGATATCTAGTGGCATAGTCTACCACTGTCAGGATAAATCTTTTGCCTGACGGGCTCGCTTTGTTGAGGGGTCCTATTAGGTCGACTGCTACCCTACTAAAGGGTTCCTCAATTATGGGAAGAGGGTGTAGCTTGGCCTTGCGCCGGTGCCCCCTTTTCCCCACCCTTTGGCATGTATCGCAAGTGTTGCAATACCTGCGCACTTCCTGGCTAATTCCAGGCCAAAAAAAACTTTGCGTTAACCTGTGCCGGGTCCTGCTGACCCCTAAATGTCCGGTTAGCGGAATGTCATGCGCTATCCGGAGTAGCTCGGCCCGGTACCGCTGGGGTACCACTAACTGTCTCGTCACGATCGGGTCTGACCCGGCTACCTGCTTATCTGTCTCCCTGTATAACAGCTGTTTGTCCCAGATAAACCTTTCGCCATCTCCCCCAGGAGCGTCTGCTGTCACCTTGTCCCTATACACCTGTAAGGTAGGGTCAGCCACTACTTCAGCTGCAAGTTCATTAGGAGGGGCCCAGGGAACACAGTTAAGGGAAGGGTCTCTTACCTGAACCTCCGGAAGTGTGTTGTAGTCCTGGGTGCGGGCCTGTTGACGGGTGACCACAGGATGAGCTTCTCCTGTGGTGGTTGTCTGGGGCTCAAAAGCAGATGTGAGCCTCCCCAGATCGTTCCCCAATAATACCTCCGCCGGTAACTGCGGCATCAACCCCACCTCCACATGCCCTGACCCCGCTCCCCAATGTAAATGTACCCTTGCTGTAGGTAGCCGGTACACTGCTCCCCCGGCTACACTGACAGCCACAGTTTTACTCAGTTTTGCTTGATCCGACACCAGGTGACTCTTTACCAGGGTGATAGTAGCCCCTGAGTCGCGTAGTCCTTGTACCGCTTTACCCTCCAGGTATACGGTCTGCCTGTGATGCTGTCTGTTATCAGCATTGGCCTGGACTGGATCCGCCTCGTGCAGTACTTCCCACTGTTCCACGGTTGTTATGGGAATGGCTGAACCATATGGTGTGGCCACTATATCCTGGTAGTGGTGGGCTGCGGCTGCTCTTGGCGGTGGTGGTGGGCCGGGGCGAATCCAGGTGGAACGATCCCTCAGCTGGGGACATTCCCTTTTATAATGTCCCCATTTCTGGCAGTGATGACAGGGGCCAGAAGTGGGCTGGCGAAAACGTGGCTGTTTAGCGGGCGGTGGTG